AGTTTCCGAGCTGTCGATGTTTCTTTGCCTTCTGCCTTTAGCTCATCAGGACTTCTGGTCACCCATCAGCAGGTATGTCACAGCCAGTGATGCGTCCATGGATGGTGGAGGTCTTTGTGTTTCGGATGGTTTGACTCCGTATGGCCTCAAGGTTTCATCTGGGGCTTTTCGTGGCGAAAATGTTGATGACATTCCCGAGCGTGGTGTGGTTTGTGTTGGACTGTTTGATGGTGTTGGCAGTTTGCGGCTTGCTCTTGAGGTACTTCAAGTCAACGTGCAATTCCACGTTTCAGTTGAAAGTGACGAGCACGCCAAGCGGGTGGTAGAAGGTCATTTCAACAATGTGGTCCAACTCAACAGTGTGGAAGATATTACTCCTGAGATGTGCCAACGGTGGGCAGGAAGAGCAAGTGGCGCGGGCATGGTGATTGTGGGTGCCGGACAGTGTCAAGGGGTAAATCGGTCGTCCCAACGGTGAGCGTAGTGGAAGCGTCAGTTAGATTCAACCTGTGATTCGAATGTTACGGCAATCTTTCTCTTGGTGCCCTGTTCATTTCATTCAAGAGTCTGTTTTTCAAATGGACTTGGGAGATAGGCAAGAGTTCACCAGAGCAGCAGGGGTATTGCCCATTCGGATTTGTGCTTCTGAGCTCTCCCCTTGCCGTCGTGATCGCCTCTACTGGATAGACTGGACGGTTGAAGCTGGAGACGATGCGCACATTACGCCTTCTACCACTACTACCAGGGCCGGATTTCATGAGGTCCATTTTGAGGTCAATCGTGATTTCGTGGGAGTCTTCCGCCCGCGATGGGGGATGATGCCGGGGGTTGACTGCCTGGCAACATTTACAACTTCACAAGCAAACGCAACCAAACACATTCCCTCAGTAGATGAGCGAGAACGCTGCATGGGAATGCCGAGAAATTACACATTCAACAGCCTGCCAAAGAACCAGGTGAAGAGCCAGCCTCAGCATCACGAGGATGTCAGAATGTCCTTAGTTGGAAACGCGTGGAGTGTGCCTGTTATTGCTTGGTTGTTGCTACAGCTGCTGAACCCCTTGGGGCTATGCCTTGTGAAGTCGTTGAGCGGGGTTTTGGACATTCTTTTTCGTGATTGTCCCATCTTGTCTGATTCACTCTTGAGTTGGCATTCCTTTGATCGCGGATGTTGCATTCGCCAGTCTGAATCGGAGCTCACTTTGGTCAGAACGCTTATGACACTTATCTCTACAAAAGGCGATGACGTCCTTATACAACCTTCAAGTGGTGGTCGTTCTTTTCAGAAATTTCGGCGAAGTGTTCCTCCCACTCTCTGGAAGTGGAAAGTGGTTTGCGGGTGGCGGTGGTGTGACTCGGATCATCACCACATCAACAAGTTAGAGCTTCGGGCGATCTACACATCGTTGCGATGGCGAGTGCTTCGTAAAGATGGCTTGAACATCAAGTTTTTGCACTTGACCGACAGTCTTGTGTGCTTGCACGTATGCAATCGAGGACGTAGCAGCTCCCACAAAATCCAGTCTCTTATGTATCGGATTTCTTCATTGTGTCTCGCGTCAGGACTACATCCTTTCATCTCTTATGTTTCGACCCACTTGAACCCAGCAGATAAGCCGAGCCGCAGGGCTCGGGTCAAGCGTAAATGGTCAAAGTAATTACGTCTTCAGGTCGAAACAGAGATGAAAGGAAACGTAGTCGTGCCCAGATTGGCACTTTGCGAGACAACACAGTTGCCACAAAGACGGCGCAAAGATACAACAGAGCCTTGACGACTTTTTATTCGTTCTGTCACGTGCGAGTCCTCCGCATCCCTGATGCACCTAACGCTCTTGATGAGCTTTTCTGTGACTTTATCGAGTTTGTGTGGGAAACAGGAGACAGCCTGTCCCTCGTCACGGATTCCCTTTCAGGAATTCAAGATTTGAGACCCCGCCTCCGAGGCCAACTCAGTGCTTCGTGGAGACTCGTCAAAACTTGGCAGAAGTTGGAAATCCCTCATAGAGCGCCGCCTCTGCTTGAGGATCTCCTTCACACTTTATGCCGTTTTTTTATTCTCCAGGGGGATCGACACATGTCGTTGATCCTTGAAACCGGGTTTTCTGCTGTTCTGCGAACCGGGGAACTTCTCTCTTTGAAGGCGCGCGATGTCCAAATCAGTCCTCGATTCGAGTGCGCAGTGTTGAGTTTGGGATACACCAAAACGTCCCAAAGAACCGGCGCGGCCGACTCAGTTTCAGTCAGAGTCACTTCGTTGTGTCGTCGTTTGGCAGCGTGGAAAAGCAAAGCTAAACCAGATGACAAGCTCGTTCCTTTTTCGGATTACCTTTTCCGTAAGTCTTTTGACACTGCACTGGAGAAGCTCTCGATGAAATCTTGGGGCTTCCGTCCATATTCTCTTCGCCGGGGAGGGGCTACCATGTACTTTTCAAAAGACCCGCGAATGGATTGGCTCCGTTTGATGGGTCGATGGTCGTCTGACAAGACGGTCCGTGTTTAT